TGCAATACTGAAAAACCAGTATTGCTAATATTGATAGGTTCAAGATTGTATTGTTGTATCAGTAATCGTACTAGATCAAGATTACCAGAGAAACAGGCATGCATGACACAACTACCACCATGTCCATCAGTAACAGTGACGTCACACTTCATGTCATCTATTAGAAAAATCACCAATTGAATATTACCACTCGTACAGGCTAAATGTAATGCTACTCTACCCCCTGTGGTCCTTTGTTGCTTTAAAATAATGTCTATAAAGCCAATTTCATTTTGTACTGTTAAATGTTCTATAATGTACTGGACCAAGTTTAATTTTCCCTTAATACATGCATAGTGAATAGGAGCCATTCCCTTATCATTCAGAGCACACAGATCTAACTCATGATTTTCTACTAGATGTTTGAGTATAGGAAGAGAGCCACTGGACATACAGGTAATGTGAAGAACTGTTGATCCATTAGAAGAAGTAGCTGCTACATTACACTGAGGAAGACTAGTGAGATAAAGTACAACAGGAACATGGCCTCCTTCACATGCTCTATGAAGAACTGTACTACCAGTAAGAGTAGTAGTGGCGTTAACATCACACTGATACTTGTTGATCAGTTCCTGTAGACAATGTAGCTTACCGTTAAAAGCAGCTGAATGAGCTAGTGTGAGCTTGTTACTGTCAGTGTGATTAGTAATATCCACACTATACTCCTGACTGTACCATTCCAGTATATGAGTATGACCATTCTGAGCTGCTGCATGTAATACTGAGAAGCCAGAGTTATTAATATTGATAGGTTCAAGATTGTATTGTTGTATCAGTAATTGTACTAGATCAAGATTGCCAGAGAAACAGGCATGCATGACACAACTACTACCATGTCCATCAGTAACAGTGACATCACACTTCACGTCATCTATTAGAAAAGTCACCAATTGAATATTACCACTCGTACAGGCTAAATGTAATGCTACTCTACCCCCTGTGGTCCTATGTTGCTTTAAAATAATGTCTATAAAGCCAATTTCATTTTGTACTGTTAAATGTTCTATAATGTACTGGACCAAGTTCAATCTTCCATTACTACATGCATAGTGAATAGGAGCCATTCCCTCATTATTCAGAGCACACAAATCTAACTCATGATTCTCTACCAGATGCTTGAGTATAGGAAGAGAGCCACTGGACATACAGGTAATGTGAAGAACTGTTGATTCATTAGAAGTCTTAGCTGCTACATTACACTGAGGAAGACTAGTGAGATAAAGTACAACAGGAACATGGCCCCCTGCACATGCTATATGAAGAACTGTACTACCAGTATCAGTAGTAGTGGCGTTAACATCACACTGATACTTGCTGATCAGTTCCTGTAGACAATGTACCTTACCATTAAGAGCAGCTGTGTGAGCTAATGTGTACTTGATATTGTCAGTGTGATTAGTTATATCCACACTATACTCCTGACTGTACCATTCCAGTATATGAGTATGACCAGTTTTAGCTGCTTTATGCAATACTGAAAAACCAGTATTGCTAATATTGATAGGTTCAAGATTGTATTGTTGTATCAGTAATCGTACTAGATCAAGATTACCAGAGAAACAGGCATGCATGACACAACTACCACCATGTCCATCAGTAACAGTGACGTCACACTTCATATCATCTATTAGAAAAATCACCAATTGAATATTACCACTCGTACAGGCTAAATGTAATGCTACTATACCATTTGTGGCCACATGTTGCTTTAAAATAGTGTTGATCAAGCCAATTTGGTTTTGCAATGTTAAATGTTGTATAATGTACCGGACCAAGTTCAATCTTCCCTTACTACATGCATAGTGAATAGGAGCCATTCCCTCATTATTCAGAGCACACAGATCTAACTGATGATTCTCTACCAGATGTTTGAGTATAGGAAGAGAGCCACTGGACATACAGGTAATGTGAAGAACTGTTGATCCATTAGAAGTAGTAGCTGCTACATTACACTGAGGAAGACTAGTGAGATAAAGTACAACAAGAACATGGCCTCCTGCACATGCTATATGAAGAATAGTACTACCATTAGTAGTAGTGGCATTAACATCACACTGATACTTGTTGATCAGTTCCTGTAGACAATGTACCTTACCTGTATAAGCAGCTGAATGAGCTAGTGTGAGCTTGTTATTGTCAGTGTGATTAGTAATATCCACACTATACTCCTGACTGTACCATTCCAGTATATGAGTATGACCATTCTGAGCTGCTGCATGTAATACTGAGAAGCCAGAGTTATTAATATTGATAGGTTCAAAATTGTATTGTTGTATCAGTGATCGTACTAGATCAAGATTACCAGAGAAACAGGCATGCATGACACAACTACTACCATGTCCATCAGTAACAGTGACATCACACTTCATATCATCTATTAGAAAAGTCACCAATTGAATATTACCAC